GATTAAGATCATGAGTGGATCAATGTTAGAATGTCATTGAAAATCTGGAAGCACTGAACAGCCGTTTCATCCTAGTATGGAACTCATCGTCAGTGCGCATTCACAATCCTACAAATGGGATTCGAACCCAGGAAAATCGGCCTAATAATGTGTTTTAACTTGTGGTCTTGTGTCCATATCAATATATATAATGTAGTGATATCACCAATTAGAGAACAGGAACTTTTCTAACGAACCAATGACGCATAAACCCGTAAAGGCAGTCTAGAGTCTCTATCGGTCCTGCTTGCTACCTAACCCTGTCTGTTAAAGTCTAGAACACCAATCTCAGCCTCTGTGATATGAATCACGTATTTCAAACATACTGAGTTTGTATACAAACCAAACAGATCAGTTAATTTGTAAAATGATGTTGACCTTATGTTATTGTTGTCATTAGAAGTCGACTAGAACTTAAACTAATAATTCAGTGTTATAAGCAAGGATGGATAATGACCAGCAGTAGAATCTAGGACTCGCGTTTCGTCCTATTCGGTATTTGTCAGTTGGATGTACCTGCATCCTAGAGTTGATGTTCACTCTGGGACTCAGTACTAAGTGTCATATGTAATATGTCTATCAAAATTTATCAAAATTAATCTCTACCATTAAAACCGGGACGACATAAACTGTGTTTTGCAACTAAATTCATCTGGTATTGATTGATTGAGACTTCCCATTGTTATTTAAGACTTCAATTGATCAGTCTATCATTGACATATGTACATCCTGAGCGGATCGCCTCGATGTTGCCTTAATTCCCAAACATTATAAGCAAAGATGGATGGTGGCTAGCAGTGAAATTCAGGACCCAATCCAGGATTCAAGCAAACAATACAAAATGAATTTAAACTTCACACCATTGCACAAGCAACTGGTTACCAGGACGAGCTGGCGGAGTTTAAATGGTGCAAATTATTTCTTCTGGTTAGTGCTTTATTAACGAGTTAGATTTCTACGGGATGACGTCACTAACTCCATGCTGAACCCTCCCCATTTATCCAGTATTCGGGTCGAAATTAGCCTCAAAGGGGCTCCGGGCGGAGGAAGAAATCAGGCAGAGGCGCTGGAGGTAAATAGGACCCACATTGAGGAAAGCAACCAACTGCACCACAAGGCAAGCCCTCACTTGGAATCCTCAGGGTCAAAGAAGAAGAGGAAAACCAAAGGACACATTACACCGAGAAATGGAGACGGACATGAGAATAATGAACAACAATTGGATAGAACTAGAAAAGAAGGTCCAGGACAGAGCGGTTTGGAGAATCCTGGTCGGCAGCCTGTGCTCCATTGGAGTAACAAGCATAATGCGTAATGATTACGAACTTCTTCAATGGCGTCTTGCTTTAAGATACGCAAGTAGTATAACAAGTTCCAGACTTGATTAAGTGGATTGATCTTGAAATGATTTGTCATTTAGTTGTTTAATACTTTGTTAGTAAGAAAAAGATTCATTATTTAGACATGGATTCATACCAGTTCGACTTTTAATTTATAAATAAAGGGTATTTAAATGTGTCCTAGTTTATTGTTCATCCCAAGAACTTTTATATCACTTATTACTTACCAATTATCAGATTGAATGGAAAAGACTATTAGAGATGAAGGGGCCTACTTATAGTTTCAAGGATTGTTCAACACTGTAACTGTTGTGATATTATCAAATATATAAGCAGAGAAAGATGATGGCTAGCAGTGGAATTGAGGACACGAACTTCGTCCTGTTTTTGACTCGTCAGCTCGATGTATCTGCATCTCAGGCTTTTTAGTGTCCGTTCCAGGACTCGAACTCAATGTACAAGTTGGTGGCTGTTTGAACTCATTAGCTAAGTGGATAATGTGATGGCTTTTAAAGTGAACGTTTCTAGGTTCGAGTCTCGGAGTGAGATTCAGGTACGTCCAGCTGATAAGTATCAAATGAGACGAAACACGCGTCTCGGATTCCACTGATAGACACCATTCATCTCTGCTTATAATGCTTGTGATTAAAGGCAATATCGAAACAATCCGCACAGGGTACATGTATATCAAAAAAGACTGATCAATTGCAATCCTAATCATCGATAGGAAGATACAAACAACCAACACGAAAAATGGATTATGAGATATAGTTCAGAATCAAAGTCAGCGGGCGATCTTGTTGTTGTTTTTCACCATACTATTTGTAATAATTGAATCATCTTCATTAACTAAAATGAGTCTTTCTTGACTATATTTTTAATTCATTCATTTTAATTCAATTGGACAGGTGTTTCATCCTAGTACGAGACTCTTTAGCAAGGCATATGCACTGCACCGCCACAAGAAATTGCATTGAAGGCTTTTGATCTCATCGCATATTACTTGCTTACGTACTTAAGCCTGTTACTCCCAATGGAGCATAGGCCGCCGATCAGCATTCTCCAACTCACTCTGTCCAGGGCAACTTTTGTTTAACAATTATTAAGTGAAAACGGTTATTTCAAAGCATTCACAATATGTTTTTTTCTTAGAATTTTCATAGTACCCTGGGATTAGACTAACACTAGTCATTATATATTGATCAATCAGTTATGTATACCCAAGTTTTGTAGGAGGTCAGTTGCACCCTGTATGGAGTTAGATGATAGCATCTCAAAATTGTGAAGCTGAATAATAGAAGCTGGAATCCCATTGGATACATTAGTTCTCTTAAGAATGTACATAAACTTTACTCAAAAGTGTCAACCGACATAAAACCTAGATTCTAGGGTATCCTGACAACTACGTTTAACTATTGAACATCACAACAAAAGGAATAAAAGTGACAAGTCACTACAACATGTAACTATATTGTAAATTAATCGATTGACTTTGTTAAATATTAAAGAACTAAACAAACTTAACTTTGGTTATTACTCAATGAACAATCAATTGTAGACTTACATTATCAGATTAGTCAATAAAACATTATCTTCTTTATAGAATAAAGGATCATAGTCAATGATGATATATTACGTAAGTAGTAAGCATTTTTCATAGTAATTTAATGTAGATCCTTCTATTCCGTCTGTGATAATGTTAGTTCTACGTAGCTTAAAATGATCTAGTTTGATTCCAAATACTGTTTAGAACAGCATTTCTTTCAACTGTCTTTTGACTTCTCATTTGCAACTTGGGAGGGTTCTAGAGTTCGAGTGCTCAAGTTGTACGCAGTATATTATTAACCTGAGCTCTAGATAGAACATAGACAATTGTCAGGAAGATGTTACTACAAGCACCAATGTAAACCTGAAACTACTGAACAATGTTTCGTCCTACTATGAGATTAAGTTTAAAAAAATAAAACATTACAACCATCGAATACTGTCTCAGTTGTCTAGTGATCAAGGTTTCGAATGCGATACCCAATGTTCTGGGTTCAATCCCTTGTGTTTTAGTCGTGAGTGAGTACAACCTGGACGGAAATGCTACCAGTCGCTTCTTGATCTTAAACGATAACCTAAATAAAATCAGTTCATTGTGTAAACTATTCAATACATGATGGATGGAAAAGGTAGTTATAACACCTCAACTGTTAGGAGACCTTCCCCATGAGAGATAAGTCGAACATATCAACTACTGGAAAACAACGACTTGTAAAACACAACATTTAAGTTAGATTGAATAGATAGAATATGACTAACAGTGGAATCTGAAACGATCTTCAGTGACTTTACAAATCATCTCATGGAAATTCAACCAGATACAAGCCAATCAGTAAATTGGAGGGAGATTCGAACCAATAATTTACCACTAAATAGAAAGAATTAGAATCCTCATATACTTTCTGCATAATTAATAAACGTATGAAGTATGAAAATAGGTTGAGAGTTAAGCTTAGAATGGAAGAATCCTGTGTAGTCATTTGGGTGATATGAATAGATGGGGTTCTTTGAAGTGAATTCTAAACGATTTGCTCGTCTTGAGAAGGTAATAAATAAATCATGTTACTATAATGAATATATTTCCATTCGAACATTTTGAATCACCAACTGATCTTGACTAGATCAACAATCAAAACCAGGAAATATTGAACGAGTGTTTTGTTGTAGTATCAAGCTCCTCATCATGGATCATCCATGTTCCTGTCACAGGGAATCAAACCTAGAAGATCGAGTCTCACACGTCAGCTTCTAATCTCTACACCACTGGACCGACATTCAACGGTGTTCATGTCTAACTTCAAACAATCCATCATATTCGTCATTCTGTATCGATTAACTTCTGTGTACAAACAGTTGTATCATATTCGATGCGAATTCAACTGCATCTGTTATGGGATCTCATTAGAACTCACTAGAACCCGTCCCTTGTGTTTCCATCTACTTTTATTAAATACACCAATCACTGCATTATCATCCTATTAACAATCATTAAGATTTATTCTTATTCTTCAGTCTTGACAAGTTCACCTATTTCTAGTGTCATAATACCTAACTAAATATTGATGGTTGGTTTGATTCCATTCCCACATAACTCCTAATAAGTAACAACCTATTCGTTACCGTATTTCAAATTACTCGCATGATCAAACAGAACTTCAATCTGACTGTTTTCATTTCATCACTGTAGTTGAATCCAAATGGGTTTGTGTTCGTGTGTATATTTACACACTTTCAGTCTTGAATATCGAGCAAAGTAAATTCATCATTCAGTCGAAAGCTGACCAGTTAGTGAACTCCACAAAACACACAAAACACAAAACTCATTCACTCACTCACTCACTCATTTACACAAATAGATTCAATGATTAGTTGATTTCAATTCATGAATCATTAATATGATATCTAATTAGGTCATTAGGTAGTTAGTTAATAACTACTGCCAATAGGTAATTACACATCTAATTATTCAATGAAAATTTTCTATTCACAACTGAATAGATCGAGGGAGGGGGGAGGAGGAAACGACAATCTAATATAATGGACAATGGAATAAAATGGGAAAATGTTCATCTCTAATTAGTTCCTTCCCCATAATGAGTACCATGTTGATGATGATGATGATGATGATGATGATGATGATGATGATGATGATGATGATGATGATGATGATGATGATGATGATGATGATGATGATGATGATGATGATGATGATGATGATGATGATGATGATGATGATGATGATGATGATGATGATGATGATGATGATGATGATGATGATGATGATGATGATGATGATGATGATGATGATGATGATGATGATGATGATGATGATGATGATGATGATGATGATGATGATGATGATGATGATGATGATGATGATGATGATGATGATGATGATGATGATGATGATGATGATGATGATGATGATGATGATGATGATGATGATGATGATGATGATGATGATGATGATGATGATGATGATGATGATGATGATGATGATGATGATGATGATGATGATGATGATGATGATGATGATGATGATGATGATGATGATGATGATGATGATGATGATGATGATGATGATGATGATGATGATGATGATGATGATGATGATGATGATGATGATGATGATGATGATGATGATGATGATGATGATGATGATGATGATGATGATGATGATGATGATGATGATGATGATGATGATGATGATGATGATGATGATGATGATGATGATGATGATGATGATGATGATGATGATGATGATGATGATGATGATGATGATGATGATGATGATGATGATGATGATGATGATGATGATGATGATGATGATGATGATGATGATGATGATGATGATGATGATGATGATGATGATGATGATGATGATGATGATGATGATGATGATGATGATGATGATGATGATGATGATGATGATGATGATGATGATGATGATGATGATGATGATGATGATGATGATGATGATGATGATGATGATGATGATGATGATGATGATGATGATGATGATGATGATGATGATGATGATGATGATGATGATGATGATGATGATGATGATGATGATGATGATGATGATGATGATGATGATGATGATGATGATGATGATGATGATGATGATGATGATGATGATGATGATGATGATGTTGTCCAGAGAGATAGCTGATATTTGATTGGAATACATGGATAAAGAAACTGCAACTGTTCAATTTGATTTCGTTAAGTTGTTTGTTATCAGCCGTTTACAATCAACATCGTTACAGAGATTGACAAATCTTCTGAAACATTTCAACGAAGTCCATCCAAATATCCAGTTTACTATGGGACATGAAAATCAGAACAAGTTCCATTTGCTCTAGATATCGCAATGAAACGAAGGATGGATGAAGTAGTTCAACGTTCAGTTTATAAGAAAGTCAATATGGAATAGGATTGATTGATTGATCTCAATTCCAATTGATTTTCTCCAATCAGTTACACAAAACACCATTTGTTCAAACACTATTTCACAGAAGAGAATGAGTATGTACTGCCGATACACCAGAAGAGGAAGTAATGAATGTTGGAAAGATGTTTAAAGAATAACGGATTCCCATTGAAATTTATGAAGGAATATGGGAGATATGAAGATGGAAAAAGCTCAAAGAAACTACAATGCACAGAAACAAGCCTAATGTTATTCAACTTCAATTCAAAGGTGACGATGTCACAGGGTCAATCAAAATATGTGACTAAAAACTGCATTGACAAGAACTTGTCCTTCAGATAAACTGATTATCCTGTCCAAAAACAACATGTTCTTTGACACAATCAAACGTCCGTTGGTACCACTTTCATGTTACCACCTGCTATGTATAGAAATTTACATGTATCTGTCCAAGCAGTTACATTAGTAGTAGAGAAAGCAGAGCCTACGTTCAACTCAAAGTACATATTCTGAAATGTTTAAGATCAAATGGAATAAAGGCATTCAGCACTGTCATCGCAACACATCTCCTAGACACAGGACATGAAGTCAGTATACTGAAGTCCTTTCACGTAATTAACAAACAATCAAACTACAATCTTTTGAAATTCGCTGAAGCGATAGCAATCAAACGTCGAAAACCAGATCTATGTATCTGAAATGAGGCAGTAATAAATCTTTCTTTCTTCGGCCTGGTAATATTACGCCCCACACCTTGTCATTTATTACGTCACTCATTGCTGCAACTCTCTCCCATGTTTAAATTACATCATTGTCGGTATTCTTCAATTCATATCTCTCTTTATTATCATTAATCTATTTCCACTTGCTTCACTACACAATCATATGATATCTGTTAACTCCATGAGTTCCAATCACTATTTCAACGGAATAGTCTAAAGGGTAAACTCATGTGGGATCGTGAACACTGAGTGATCAGGAACTCCGTACTCCATAGTCGAAACAATCATCCAATCATACTTGCACTTTAAAGACTATCTAACCTTTAATGTAATCTGTAATGTAAAACTGTTAAATAGAGATCTATCAAGAATCTATGAAGCATTCATAGTGGGTAGTTGAAGACAGTTGATGTAAAATGTCCCACATCTAAGCTTATGTGAGTTGATTAGGGAACAAGCGTACTTTTCGATAGATTTCACCTCATAGTATTTAATGAAACAGTCAGGTAGGTCGACGATGACTTATTCAGACTGTGGAAAGCTTCCGCACACCTCAGTGCCTTACACAAATCAATTACTGAGAAATTAGTTATCGAATGCCATCGATCGAGTTGCAGTGTAGCTAGCTACTAGCCTGATTGATTTGATATCCTAACCGATTTTGGTTTGATGATTGTTCTCAAGTATACTTCCTAATGCATGATTCTTGATTCTGCTCTCAATAGACGTTCAATCACTTTATTTGTTCTGATATTAATCCCCTTACCCCATTTACTTCACCATAATAACTAGTGTATTATGCGAACCAACACAATTCCGTACCACAGTTGAGGTTATTTAACACCGATTGAATGTGATCATTGATCAATATTTAACTAACAAAGCCAACATATTCGAATTAGAACACCGATAATTTGAAATAAATATCATATCCCATCAGAGAATGTTTATATAAAATAGATGGAATGTGACTAGAATTTGGATTTGAGGACACGTCATTTCGTCCTATTTGGAACTTCTTAGCTAGATGTATCTGCATCTCACAAATGATACTCACATCGGCATTCGAATCAGTTCCTTTTGCTTCGATAACACAAGTGAATTGCCATCCGGACTCTACAGATCAGTGGATAAAACATTAGCATTTGAAGCAACAGAGACTATATTCAAATCTTAATAATGAGTTACATTCAACTGACTAGTTCTATACAACATAACACGTTCATTCTGTATTCCATTAGTAGCTACATTTCATCTACTCTACATTGGCTTCTATTACAATGGTTACATTAAGACAGTCCCCATGAGACGAACATATACCAAGCAAGACTGATCAAATTTTAGTCGGAATATCAAGAATCGATAATCCAAGCTATTATAAATTAAATTATAATTATGAGCATAGGGTTTAATTACGCCTGTAATTCCTCGTCGAGGAGCATAGGCCATCCACCAGCACTCTTCATCTAACCCTATCTTCAACAACCCTTTCCAGTTCTTTCCAGTTGTTATTCATCTTTTCATATCTGCTTCTATTTCCCAACGTACTGTGCTCTTTGGCTCTTCTCTTCACGATTCCAAGTTAGGGCCTGCCTTGTGATACAGTTTGGTGATTTCCGTAATGTATGTCTTATCCATTGCCAAGGTCTTCTTCAACTAGAATCTGGTTTGCTCTTTCCCACAGAAGGCTGTTGCTGATAGTATCCGGCCAATCGATGTTGAGTATCTTACGTAAACAACTATTTATAAATACTTGTACCTTCTTGATGGTGGTTGTAGTAGTTCTCTAAGATTCAGCTCTATACAATCGAACTATCTTGACATTCGTGTTGAAGATTATGACTTTGATATTGATTGAGAGACAATTGTTTTTTGAGTTCCATATGTTCTTCAATTGTAGGAATGCTATCCTTGTTTTGCCAATCCTCTCCTTTCCGCCTGCATCTGCTCCTCCTTGTTCATCAATAATGCTTCTCAGGTACGTGCAGAATTCCACATCTTCTAGAGTTTCGCCAACAAGTGTGATTAGATTGGTGTTTTCTGTATACTTAACTACACACCAGCAAGTAAATATCAAGTAATGAATCATAGAAACTACAACCATAGTGTTTCAAATGTCACCTGAGAATAATCCTGCTATATAAGGAAGACAAAGACATGATTATAGATGATTCATTATTTTTATATCACTTCTTAATATTTTCCATACTTGTCTACATTGAAAGTTAGGTAAATATTGTCAGACATTGAATATTGGGTAAACAAAGAAACTATTGAACAATTGATCACAACCATTGGATAATATTAGAATGGGGATTTGTGACGGTTGTAGTAGTTTTTAATAGTTGAATTCACGAGTTGATTAAAGCTAGACCACCATGAAAAATCCGAAAGTACTGGACGGGGCTGTTTCGTTCTAGTATAGGACTCCTCAGCATTGCGTATCCATGATCCCTCGAAACAAGGACCAGGACGATAACGCGATTTTGTGGATTGTTTGAAGTCGGTCTTTAACACTGTTGAATGCTGGTTCATTAGTCTAGATATTAAGCGTTCGCGTACAAGACGAAAGCTGCTGGTTTCGAGTACATTGGATGCATGATCATGGATGAGTATTACTTAGGAGTTTCATACTAGGACGAAACGACCGTCAAGTACTCTCAGGTTTTCTATGGTGATCCAGCTTTAATCAACTCATGAATTCAATCATTAAAAGTCGTATAATAGTTGTAACGTTGTTAAGACTTCTAGACAACACCAGTAGGGACGACCGAATCTATCTGAATACATAATTACAGAATCTCTTAGTAAAGTCTGAGGACCATACAATATAAGATAATCTACTTGTTCTGATCAGTGTATTTTTTAATATTCTATTTGTTGTTGCTGAGACGGCATCATCTTTGAATTCCAATTGAATGTAAATACGTTTTCATCTACTGTAGTTTAGTCCGGGAGTTTGTCTTTATTTTTCACATATTCCGTTAAACATTCATTAACTGCATTCTCAATGTGTCGGTAGTACTATAATCGAATGAGAACATATGTGGAAACAACCGAATGTGTTTAAAATACCATATCACAGAATGTCTTAGTGAAATCTGAGAATCATACAGTAAAACAAAAATACTTCATTTACAAAATGTCAATCAATCGTCTCCGACTATATTGGTCCTTCGTTTCCATACCAATCATTCTCTTGAATCGTTCCATTAATGTTTAAAACTGTAATTGATCAATCGCTTATTGATATACATATGTATGTATACTGTGCGTATTGCCTCAATATTGCCTTAACTCACAAATATTTTAAGTATAGATGGTTAGTAATTAGCAGTAGAATCCAGAACTTACGTTTCGTCCTATTTCAGACTCATCAACTGAATGTACCTATGACATATCAGAGTTTATAATCACTCTCCACTTGTTCTCTTTTCTTTGATCTTTGTAACCTTTTTTCTATCACCAAACATTCCACTTTCATTAATGATACATACTACTTATATATATCTGTCGATATCAGTAGTATATTTCTTTAGTTACCTAATTAGAAAGTTTAATCATAATAAATTGTCATAAATTATCCTTGAAAAAAACTACAAAAAAATTGTAGATGACGTAATTTTTTCTTGTCTACTATAAATAATAACTTAAAAGCTTCAATATTAACGAATGATTTATATAGATATTACTTAAATGTCAAATGTACTACTTACAAAACTACTTAAATCATTAATTTTATTTTTTTCCCCTTTTTCTCTTTTTTGTCTTTTTTCTTTTTCTCTCTCTTTTTTTATTTTTTTTATTTTGAAACGAGAAAAACAAAAAAAGTTAATCAAAATTGTAATTATCCCGCTTTATTTTTGCTTTAATATGATTATTAGTTGAGACTAAGAGTCAAAGATGATTAATGAATGATTTCATAAAGGATATTAAAGGAATATAGATTTATATTCATAGTTAAAAGTCTAGGGATTTCAATAGATCCTGATGTAATCTAGTTCAAGTTATCAAAAGACGTGTTTTTTTTTCCATAGTTATTAGGATAAGGTTGTATAGACTGTTAAGTTTTGATTAAGATCATGAATGAATCAATGTTAGATTACGATTGAAAACTTGGAAGCATTGAACAGTCATTTCGTCTTAGTATAGAACTACTCAGAAGTGTACAGTTTTGATCTTGTACATGGGACTTAAGCTCAGGACTTCGAGTCTCAACAGGAAGCTATGAACCTAGGTTTTGCGCTATTTTGACACTCGTCAGTAAGGTGTACCTGTAATTTTGAGGGAATTGATTCTATGTCACTGGATGGTGATCAATGTTTTATGCGTCAGGTCCTTCTTAGTGTATTTCGAATCCTATTGACGAAGTTGCAATGTGGCCACTAGTCTAGGCGACTCGACATTCCATGCGCTATGTTAGAATAAAAAGGTGGTTGGAACTGGGTGACACGGGATCGAATCCATCACAGAGCACCAGTTTCATCACGATTACAGGTACATCTTGCTGATGAGTAAGAAGTAGCATGAAACTTGGGTCCAGGGTTTCTTGTTGATTACCTCCAACCACTATCTTATCTCAACACAGTGTACTCAATGTCAAATTACCTGGACTAGTGATCACATTGCAACTTGATCGATAGGATTCGATCTGCACTAAGAAGGACCTGACACACAAGACATTGATCACCACCCAGTGATCAATCAATTGTGAAGATTTTCAGTTTCGTGCGAGAACACTAAACCTTTAAATCACCGAGCATCAAACGGTTTTAATGTCTAACTTTAACCAAATTTTTATAGTAAAACAGAAAATCGTATAAAATTAATATAGAATTCAAAACGAACAATCAATGTTTCATCTGGTACTATCAATAATCACAACAGAAGTTGTATGATTAGTAGTTGATGAGTAAAGATGATCCTGGCAACTGAAGAACGATGTTCTGTGATGTAACGAATCAGACTGCTCGGAAAGTGAACATTTTTAGAATGCTAAATGATCTTAGAAAGCATAGCCTTTAAATCAGTCTAAAATCAATAGAAATGTCTTGCCTACTTACTTATGCCTGTCATCCCTTTGTGAAGCATAGACGATAGGATCAGAATTTTTCAGTCAACTCTGTTATTTGACTTTTTCTTCCAATTGTTTCCCAATTGTTAATCACTCTTTAAATGTTTGCCACCAATTGATGGAGCTATATCTGCATCTTTTCTCTTTGTCTTGAGGATTCAAAATCACGACTTACCTCGTAATGTGATGTGATGTCATCCTATACACCTCCAAGATCTTCTCCTAATATCCTCTTCATCTGGAGGATTCAATCACACAATCAAATGTAAATGTTAAATAAATGTTTATGATTATTGTCAATGAAAATTAATGAACCAACTTTATTCAGGCCATCCAACAGTATTCTCCATCCGACTTTGTCCTCAGCAATCCTTTCCAGTTGCTTCCAGTTGATATTCATCCTTTTTATATCTGATTCTAATTCTCAATGCATTGTGTTATTTGATCTTCCTTTTTTCCGTTTCCCTTCAGGATTCCAAATCAGTGCATGCTTCGTGATGCAGCTTGGTACAGTAGAACTATCTTGACATTCGTATTGAAGATTCCCATTTTGATATTGGTTGACAGAGATTTGTTTTGAGTTCCATATGTTTTTCAATTGTAGGAATGCGGTCCTTACTCTGTCAATGCTTATATCTTACATCTATATCAGATCCTCCTTGTTTACTAATAATAGCCCCCAAATGCCCTGGTGCGGCCGAGAGTGGGGAGGGGCCGCTCTCCCTCTCCAAATGCTCTCACATGGCTACGCGTATATAGCCTCTGCCAGGGAAGTTCTACTCACTGCCTTCTTGCACCACGGGTGTTGTTTACGAAGTTGAGAGGATGAAAAGCGGACGTCCGGCGCTTTAACGGGATTGGTGGACGCGGTGGATTCACCTAGGGGAGTTCGAAAACCGTCATTCCAAACCAATGGTGCACATGGGCTCCAGTATCCTGAGTGAACAGATGGCTTAGGAAACCAATAGTTGGTCACCGGCTACTATGAGACTGCATCTCTTTACGTTACTCCACTGACTTGTGGATCACACTTTAGGTCGAAGACTCCAGGTGTGACTCCCTAGGAAAACCATCTTCTTCGGTTTGGGCACCCGGGCATTATCATAGCCCTCACACACATCAAATAAGATTTGTGTGGCGCATATGTATTTGGTGCCTCCTTGTACCAATATCTATGTGTTAAAATTAAATAAAATAAACCGATGATTTTCTCTATGTATGTGAGGGTTTCCATCACTTCCAGAGTTTCTTCATCAAGTGTGCTTCGGCTGATATTCTCCATGTTGTATTCGAGGATCTCAGTTTTTCCATTGTGTACTTTGGAGCCTATTGATACAAAGGCTGTTGTTACACTGTTTATCTTCACTTAAATTTGGAATTTTCAAAATGAACTATTCAATATACCATTCTCACATTTTATCAAGATACTATGTTTAATAATAAATTGATTATCTCCAATTGAATTCTCATTTACAAAACATGGATGCAAATAATGCAGTAAATATTTGAAATGAAAAAGAACTCATGTCAGAGATTTCACTCCTAGTTACCAGTGGAATTCAACCAGGTCTGTTGTGAGATATCGACTCACTGAAGACAATGGTATATGGTGGCGCGACTTCGTGGATTGGTTAAAGTTAGACATAAACACCATTGGGTGCCGGCTCAGTGGTCTAGTTGGTTAAGCGCTTGGCATTGGGACTGGTAGGTCCTGGATTCGAATCTCGCGGGGTGCGGGATCGTAGATGCGCACTGTTGAGGGGTCCCATACTGGGATGAAACGGCCGTCCAGTGCTTCCAGGTTCTCCATGCTGGTCTAGCTTCAATCGACTGATGATTTCAATCAGTGAAATTTCTAAAATCTTCACAAAAACCCTTCTGATAATGCAGTAAATGTTTGAAATTAAAAAGAACTCATGTCAGATATTTCATCTCTAGTTACTATCCAATATTCAATCAACCTCTATCCGTATAAACCAACTTACCCCACCACTACCATCACCCCCACCACCACCTTGAAAACGAAACAGGGAATGGTTTTCAACTAAACAAGTCATTCATTCATTATTATGATTAATCTATAGTTTTCTGATAGAATTATTCGATTTAATAAGGAATTATGTTTATTTCAATGGAATAATTTAGAATTATTTCTGAAATTAATAATCATTAAGTCAATGATTCAAAGATGAAAATGATTAGAGTATAGTCCATAATATTGATAATGTAATCAATAAATTGATAGTTATTGTAACTTAGTACTTTAGGAGATAATATGTATTATAGGGTTGGATAGGTGGGTGGTTGAATGAGTGAGTGGGTGGGTGGTTGGTTGGTAATCAGATAGTATTTTGTTCGAGATCCAATCTAATTATCAATATTGTTGATGAATACTACATTGGAGAACTTCATTATGTAGGCAAGTAACACCGCCTATAGTTCTTTTACGGTTACTGTTGGTTCAAAGCCTGGGTAAAAGAGGAGAGTTGGGTTTAGGGTCATTCGTATTCATAAATGTTACACTATAATGTAAGTTGTATCATCATTCATGACTATTGATCAAGGTATAGGTAAGAATAACTTGAAATCTTGATAGTATTTGTGTAGTGCTAAGTAGTCAAAGGTGTTCGACAAGATTCTCAGTATCTAACAACCAACAGTAATTTTAAACTTGTACATGTTTCAACGAATCAACTTGAGATGAAATAGTAGAGAAATTTGTAACTTAGTTGAATCTTTTAATCGTGAGTAGGTTCCTTGTCTATAACTATTATAATACGTTATTTATCACCTAGGACGGAGACAATATCATCCCTAGTTCTAAGTTTCCTTCAAGTCTTTTGTTCTTGAGAGTTAAACTCTTTCTTCATGAATGTCTTCAACAGCGCATTCTAGCGATGTGTCATATACAGACTTGTTACGAAATATTTTTATCATATACAATTCTGATTCGTCATCATCATCATCCAAATCATCATCATCATCCAAAGCATCATCATCATCAGTCTAAACAACTTAACATATCAGTATATTTCAATAGTTGAGATCATGAGTCAATTGAAGCTAGACCATCATGGAAAATATGGAAGCACTGGATGTCCGTTTTGTCCTATTTTGGCATTCCTCAGTAGTACACATCCATGCGAACGCTTAACCTTTAGACCACTGAGTTAACTGGCATCCGATGGTGTAAATGTCTAATTTCAAATAATCCACGAAATTGAGTGACACATCCGCCATTGTCTTCAGCATTTATTTTATTTGTGATAAGTGAATATCAGCAACAAATATCCGACATAATTTCTCTGTTTGATCAATACAGCCTTATTAACACGATGAATATATATACCCAAAATTAAACACTTATCCAAATCGTCTCCTATAATCCTTAGTTTATATCTTTTTTGCATTTTTCAATTTTAAGGGAAGTACTTACTTACTTACTTACATCTGTTATCTCTTATGGAGAAGTATATGTCGTCCATTAACATTCTCCATAGGACTCGGTCCTAGTCAAAAGCTTGTAGTGCAGTTAGGATTCGAACCCATGCCCTTTCGAACTGGTTGGTGTGGATTCAAAATACCAAAAATTATTCATAAAACTAAACGAAATCATGAATTAATCTCTACCAATTAATGAAAACAAATGTCAGTTTTTTTTTCTCTCTTAAAGATATTTTCCTCTTGTCTTTAATGTCATTTAACACAGTGACATAATACTGGTCATTAAAGGTTGATACTTTAAGGCCACTAAACAAGTAAATGATTTATGATTAAATAATGAAGGAATTTTTGAAAAAATTACATTTAGAAATCTTAAATTTGTGACCCATCAAGTCCGACATCGATGGGATATATTGTGGGTCATATGAGGAGAAATTCGAACACTTTACTCCGAACTAAAGTTTGTAGTGATGATGTTGTTCAGAAGATCAATGAACGATCCATGAATAGATCATCCAGCTTAGAGAGCGAAACTTCACCTAAATCATTCAACTGCGCTACGAACCTTCTTCAACTTACTTACTTACTCATGCCTGTCACCCTTCGTGTACGAGCATCGGCCGTCTATCAGCATTAGCCATCGAACTCTGTCGACCACCTTACAGATAATATGTATTGCACATATTAGTGACGATTAATATAAATGTTCATATTCACACAACTATGAGTTTAAATGGAGACTTTGCATGGAATTCAGTCCGATGCTTTTCATAAACCTTACACTTTTTAGTACATATAATCCAGTGTTCAAATTGCTGATAGTTTGTTTTAGGTTTCTTTGAAATAAGTCATGATCAGACAATAGATGAGTGCTTGGTGAATTGATATATTTGATCTTATTGCAACTGTTGATCAAAGCATGTTAACCAACCAGTTTTTTGTTTGTTATTTCGAACAAATTTAATGTTTAGGTCCGTCAGTCACTTAATGTCAATTAATGATGTGTGGTATAGGTCTTAGTACTTAAGCCAGCCGTATACCGATCGCCAATTATAAAGGATAAAATAGATCGAGTCGATCTAAGCTAGATCACCATTGAAAAACTGAAAGCACTGTAAGACCGTTTTGTCCTAGTAAAGTGCACATCAGTGCACATCCACGATCCTACACTCATGACTTGAACTCAGGATCTTCGATATCACGTGAGAACACTAGCACAAAACAGCTGTCCAATGCTTTCAGGTTTTTCCTAGCAGACTTCTCCCTCCGACAGTATATAATATCGAAAGACAACATCATCACGGTAGCTTGAACAAGGTTCACAAGTCATTTGATTACCACAATCACACATAAAAAGACTTTTTAGTAATCCCATTTGTTGTAACCGCTCAATTATCACGTTATCTCTAGGATCCTCTGTGAACCGATCGTATCTAAGCATTAAGGACTGATATTGGCGCTGTGACCTTAAAATCTGTTAAACACTTTTAATTGTCTCGTCTACAAATTATTGTCTCACCAATAAATTCATATGAGCTATTCGACTATAAACATATTTTTTCAAAAGTTCAGATTATTAGTCAATTGAAGCTAGACCACTATGAAAAACCTGGAAACACTGGACAGCAGTTTCGTCCTGTTGTAGGGTTCCTCAGTAGCGCTCATCTATAATCTTTCAGGATTCATATGTATTGATAAGAAGTAATTCTATTGAATCCTTTTCATATAGGAAAAAGTTTGATAGGACACGCATTGAATAAAACAACCAACTGAATCACAAGACAAGCTCGAACTTGGAATCTTAAATGTCAAAGAACAAGAGGAAATCCAAAGAACATATTAGACTGAGAAATAGAGACAGACATGAGAAAAATGAACAACAATTGGATGGAACTAGAAAGGTGGACCCAGGACAGAGTGGGTTGGAGAATTTTGGTCCGTGGCCTATGCTCCATTAGAAGTAACAAGCGTAAGTAAGTGAGTAAGTAAGTAAGTAAGTAAGTAAGGAAGGAAGGAAGGAAGGAAGGAAGGAAGGAAGGAACACGTTTATTCTATTGAAATTTTGCATCCCTTTTCGATTATTACTATTATTTTCACTCTCACTGTGTGTGTCTCCTGTTCACAAATCTACCACATACATTTGATCTTAATAGTTCAATATACAACTGAAAATAGCACACAATAAATGGAAGAGAAAAAAACCGAGAACAAATAAACAAACAAACAAACAATTCTATCCATTTTGACAGATCATTACGAAATTTTCTCATTTGATTGTTGTTGTTGTGTCACCTTTTTTTTCTTTTTTTCTTTCTTTCTTCTTTTTCTTCTATCATTGAATGAAAACTTTGTTAGATACAAACATGTATCCAATGCATATTACTATGTGTATTTATATTACATAATTAATGAGTCTTAAAGAAGTGTATAACGGTATAACAACTGTTATATATATATACATATATATGTACTATTTGTTGAAACTTTTCTGGCGAGTTTTCTTAGTACTACTACTTTTCACGTTAGATACACAGTTTGGTATATTTTATAAGAATGGAACGAGAGAGGGAGGGGGATTGTGGAGATTGTAGTAATCGATGTAAGCTAGAGCACTATTGAAAACTTGGAAATACTAGTAATAGTACTAATTCTAGTATGAAGAAACTGTGATCAGTGGAATCCAATCTGTGTCGAGTGGAGACAGTAAATGAAGGGTTGTACAAGATCATGGATCATTTGAAATTAGACATTAATTAGACATCGATGTCTGGATGTTAAGCGTTCTCGTATGAGACCGAACCTCCTGGGTTCGAGACCCTTAGGTGAGATATCTTGGAAATCGATTTCTGAGCAGTCCCATACTTAGACGAAATGTCCGTCCAAGGCTTTCAGTTTTTCACTGGTGGTCTAGCATAGGTCGACTCATGAATCCAACTATTAAAAACTATATTTTAATTGTGGTTTCATCGTGGTAATAGTGTGGTGTGTGCTACTTATATTGACATAAGTAGTATATGATGTTAGTCGTGAACAGAATGTCTGGCAGCAAAGAGACAAGAGGATCGAACAGTAAACAATGGAAACAGGATGCAATTTGTATGAAAATGTGAGAACAATGAAGTCTGAGTCATTATGAGACAATTGATGGACATTTTGCAAATTAAGCATTTACTTTATGATTGTTAGATTTTATTAACAAGTCCCGTGATTTTGTCTCAGTTACACCCCATCGTCCCCACCCATATTCTGTTCACTACAATAGTAGTAGTGTAATGAACAAAAAAACAGCGGGGACAACCAAATGTATTACAGAATCTCTTAGTAAAATCTGAGAATCATACAGTGAATTCCTCATTTGCAAAATATCCATCAATCGTCTCAGACCTCATTGTTCCTTCATGTAAACACCAATCCTTCTGTGTTCACATTCTCTACTTCTTCGATCTTCTTAACCTTCTACTACCAGGCATTTCATTTCCTATTGATGATACATACTACTTATATCTATCGATATCAGTAGTACACACCATAGTAGTAATAAGAGTAATGAAATAAGACTATACATAATTATAGATGTTAATAAACAAAGATGGATAGTGACTAGCAGTGGAAT